CAACTATAGCAAAATCTAACAGATCTAACAAATGAAATCTAGGATGGCAAAATACTACAAGAAACGAAACAAAGTTGAGATGTTTAGATAACAGATAGTATTCGCGACTTGTTAGGTCGCAATTCTGTTTCGCGTGGATTTCAAGTTCAAGAATTACATTTAGAGTAAAATATATCCACACTCACTGGCCTCAGTGAATAATATGTGGCTATTAACGCCTTGGATATTTACCGATATTCTAAGTCGCTGAAATTATTAATTTAAAAAAAAATGATAAATTTAAAACGAAAACATTCAACCGCATGTACGTTGTAAAAATTCAAATAAAGTATACTGTATTTATCGTGAACGTATATTATATAGGTACAGATACTCATTTTTTGTCATAGATTAAAAAAAAAAGTCAAAACCAACTTGAAAGGTTCGTCAAATTTCACTGTAGCTGCACAGTGGAAGACAACAGACACGTTATTCACCAAAACCTCCTCATCTGAAGAACTGATCCCTAATCCATCTTCTGTGACGTCACCGGCTATTGGAACGATCTTTGTCATAACTGATTGGCTTTCCGATGAAATTCGATCAAATGCCTGTTGTGCAGATCAATATAATTTCATATTATAATAACTGGTGTAGTTATATATAAAAAACAACAATTTATACTTCATCAAATATATGTCATGTTTTAGCTTCATATACCGTATTGCCATAACTAACGCTCCCTTGCTACTTATCCCCCCCCCCCGGGTCGCAGACAGATCAGCAATCAATACTTGTAACTGCTAAATGTCACGTAGGCCACGATTTTCCCGCCGTGTTTTAGTCGTAGCAGCAAACTTCAAAGACGCTTTGGCGGTGCCGATCAAAGGAGGTTACCTGGTACATGGCAGGACCGCTTTACAGGAATTTTTGACACTTATAAACAATGATTACCATATTTACTGCGACAGTGAGCACCGGTGCTTATAGCAAAGTTAGAAATAAATAGGTTATGTTTACTACCAATTATTATAGATATATTTGTTTATAATAGAGGTATTATCATATGACCTAATTAGTCTAATCAGTTTTTAACGCTCCCGGGAGCGTTAATTAGGGTTAATACGGTATCTGAAAATGCTCCTTTTGTTCTCCTAAAAGTGGTCGTATATTATAGTCAGTCGTAAGTAGAAATACGATATCGTTAGATGTCAGTTTCAAACTGCATTACAACGAAAATAGTCAAGAAAAATATCATTTCAAAATTCAATCAATTTTAAAACAACGTAATGTTTTGATCTTTTACTATTATTTCGAATTCAGTAATACGCAGGAGTTCTTTTGAGTAAGCATAAGATGTTGCACAAAAATACACCAAGAAAAGAAAGATTAGTTATTGGTTGTTATTATGTATGTTTTTAAATTGTTAAGATTTTAACTTTACCCATTAAATTTAATGCCTTGAAAACCGTTCAAATTGATTTGTTTCAGTCTGAGTATTATTACACATTCCTTAAAGAATTAGTTTTATTCGCCAAATTACATATGAATTCAGTAATTTTACGTTTTAAGTCATGCCATTTATTACTCTCTCGAGAGCAAAGTTATTTCTCTAACGTTTTACAGTTTTATGTTATCACTATGGGGCATCCAGAACTCGCGAAATAAAGAATTTTACTAATGGTTTTAAAATGAATACATTTTTACAATAAATATTCTAACGATGCTATAAATTAAGAGTTTGATCTCTATGTTAGGCACAGTTATGATAGTTTTTTTGCGGCTTTGCTCATCAAATAAACAAGCAGTATCATGCTTTATGAATAGAGATTTAATAAAATATGGTGGCAACCAAAACAACAGTGTTATACTCTTGGCTCCCTACCAGATTCCTCCAATCCGTGAAAAATAGTAACTTGGTAACTCAGTGGAGAAATTCAAATAACTAGGTTAAAATAAATCATTTGCTAGAAGTTTCAAATCTCAGTAAAATAAGAGATTATTTAAAAAAGTCAAACTTCATAGAGTTCCAGTTTCCTTGAATACATAACTTCTTATATTAATACTTTTAGAAATGATCAAATTATGATTTGTTTAAACACAAAAATATGATAAGAAGTGTAAAAAATGTACATACATGAAATAGGTTAGACACTACAGTTCTGTATTTTATCATGTCGTGTTTTTATACAAATTACTCGACTATACCATGCAGCGTTTCTTATACAACTTATTAAAGTATACAGTATTTTGTTTTTACATCTTACTAGAACATAAAATGTCACGTTTCTCATACAACTTACTTTAGTTTAACATGTCGTATTTCTGACACATTATAATAAAGTATACCCATGTCATGTTTCTGATACATTGTACTGAAGTATACCATGCTATTTTTCTCACAGAGTTTACTAGAGTATACATGTCGAGTTTCTGACACACTGTACAAGAGTATGCAATGCTCTGTTTCTGACACATTGTACGAGAGTATACCATGTCATGTTTCTGACACCTTGTACTAAAGTATACCATGCTATTTTTCTGACAGAGTTTACTAGAGTATACCATGTCATGTTTCTGACACATTGTACTAAAATATACCATGTTATGTTTCTGAAACACTGTATGAGAGTATACCATGCTATGTTTCTGACACATTTTACGAGAGTATACCTTGTCATGTTTCTTACACACTGTACGAGAGTATACAATGCTCTGTTTCTGACACATGTACAAGAGTATACCATGTCATGTTTCTGACACATTGTACAAGAGTATATCGAGCGATGTTTATGATACAATGTACGATTATATACTATGCCCTGTTTCTGACAGGTTGTACGAGAGTATACCATGCAATGTTTCTGACACAGTGTACGACAATATACCATGCCGTGTTTTTGACACACTGTAAGAAAGTATATTATACCTTGTTTCTGGCACATTGTATGACAGCATACCATGCACTGTTTCTGACACAGTGTACAAGAGTGTACGATATCAAATTTCTGAGATTGTGTACGAGAGTATAGATGTCGTGGAATATGTTAAAAACTATAGTGTACTTTATTTCTGGAATATGTTAAAAAGTATAATGTTCTTTGTTGGAATACGTTAAAGAAGTGTAACATGCTTTGTGTCTGGAATGTGTTAAAGAAGTACATTTTACTTTGTCTGAAATATGTTAAAGAAGTACATTTTACTTTGTCTGAAATATGTTAAAGAAGTGTAGCATGCTTTGTGTCTGGAATGTGTTAAAGAAGTACATTTTACGTTGTCTGAAATGTGTTAAAGAAGTGTAGCGTGCTTTGTATCTGGAATGTGTTAAAAAAAGTATAATGTGCTTTGTCTCTGGAATATGTTAAAGAAGTATAGTGTGCTTTGTCTCTGGAATATGTTAAAGAAGTACATTGTACTTTGTCTCTGGAATATGTTAAAGAAGTACGTTGTACTTTGTCTATGAAATATGTTAAAGAAGTACATTGTACTTTGTCTCTGGAATATGTTAAAGAAGTACCTTGTACTTTGTCTATGAAATATGTTAAAGAAGTACATTGTACTTTGTCTCTGGTGTATGTTGAAGAAGTACATTGTATTTTGTCTCTGGTGTATGTTGAAGAAGTACATTGTACTTTGTCTTTGGTATATGTTGTCTGTGTATGGTAGGAAGTTCTTTTTGCACAATATACAAAGAGCACATAAAGCTGAGAAAGGAAAATTACACACTTTTGATAGAAGCAGTTCATCCAGACGCTGTCGCACATTCTTGTCATCCTTCGATCGAAGTAAGAGGTAGATTGTTTTCAAACGACTACAGGAACGTAGAAGTTTTTCTACCAGGACCTGTAGGAAGTCAGATATTTTAAGAACAGCTAAACAGAAGGATTTCCTTTTTTTTTTACAGTAACAAAATACGTTGCTAACAGCTTATTAAATTGAATTAAAAAATGTACGAAGAAACCATTTGTTAAATCATACAGACATATACAAATATATAATGCTCATAGTATAACAAATTTAAGGAACTAAACCTAGTGCATGAAATGATACCAAAATATAGCAAATCTGGAGCAAGAAAAAATAATAGATTATATCAATTAAATTTCAGGGGCATTTGACTTAAACAAGGCTTAGTTTATATAGAAAGGCTTGAGTACAATTGTTATTACTTCACCTTGTTTAATATTTATCATTGAATTTTGAGTATTTATTTGGATGAATGATATCGTAAAGAAAACCGCAGAACTATGTAGTATTGCAAAAATGTAAACTTTGAAAACAAAAATAGCTATCATCTTAGTTGGATGTTAAACTGTTACAGAAAGTTAATATTTTTTTGCGAATCTATAAAAGTAGTTTGGAGCTACTACGCTAGGTTTTTTTTAACCAATGAAAAGTGACCATACAATAAACATATCGTTTTGTTTACTGCTGTCATTTACTTTTATCAATTTTGAAGTACAAATTTACGGCGAATATTTCAGTTTAATATAGTCAAACTACTTATTCAAATGACCATTTATATTTTGCTGCTCATTTCAGAACCATTCAAAGAAAGCAGGAAAAAAATGAAATATGTTATTCAACCGTATATTGTTTTAGGCTTAAAGCATCTCTTGTACTATATTTCGTAACTTTCACAAACACATTAATTTATAGATAATAAAACTTGTTCTGCACCTTCCCCACGAATCCTGTTGCCCCAGTCACGAGAACTGCACGGTCCCGGTAGAATTCTCTAACCTGAGAGTTACATTTACCGCCACCTGGCGGTGGTATGTTAGGGTCAGTTGACTCATCTTTCTGTTTTTCTCTCACCATATTCTCCAGATGTTCGCTGCCTGAAATAAACGTCTTGTTATAAAAAGCAATATCAATTTCTTAGTTCAAATTATAATTTCATTAACGTTTTCTGAAGAATACGATATGAAACAAACTCCTTCTCGAATAACGTTGCAATGAATAAGCATGTTACCAGCTGATCTATAAATGTCCAAAGTAAATGATGTTTCTATAGATTAAACAATTTTCCTTAAAAACAAACATAAATAAATAAGGGAACGTAATAAAAATTCCATGAAAAACAAAGTTATTTAATATCTTTATTCAAAGTACAGTTTAAATACATTTATTTCTAATAGCATGCACATTATTATTTTTTCAAAGCTATTCATTTCTTTCCTTGATTATGATTAATTCTTCGTTCTAACTGGAGTCGACCTCTATTGAGCCACTTGGAACAAAAATAACCACTAATGTGGTTCCTGAGAAAAGTATTCCCTAGTGGGTCAGCGGTTAGTTTGCGGACTTAAAACGTCAAAATTCAGAATTCTAATTCTTATGATGAACAGAGAGCAGGTGGTCTATTGTGTAGTTTTGTGTTAAATTAGAAGGAATAAGCACTGTTTAGTGATACTACGTCCAAGGGTTTAAGCTCCGTTTATATGTATTCTATATATAAAAAATGTTTTAAAAATCCAAATCAAATGACTATTTTCTAGATATTACTGAGATTATTACCCAAAAAAAACAATATAGTTTTGCATGTTATGGTAGTTCCTATGCCTGATGCAGTGAGCATACTTGATCCTTATGGTAGTTCCTGTGCCTGATGCAATGAGCATACTCGATCCTTATGGTAGTTCCTGTGCCTGATACAGTGAGCATAGTTGATCCTTATAGTAGTTACTATGCCTGATGCAGTGAGCATACTTGATCCTTATGGTAGTTCCTATGCCTGATGCAGTGAGCATACTCGATCCTTATGGTAGTTCCTATGCCTGATACAGTGAGCATACTTGATCCTTATGGTAGTTCCTATGCCTGATGCAGTGAGCATACTTGATCCTCATGGTAGTTCCTATGCCTGATGCAGTGAGCATACTGATCTTTATGGTAGTTCCAGTGCCTGATGCAGTGAGCATACTTGATCCTTATGGTAGTTCCTGTGTCTGATGCAGTAAGCATACATTGACTTTATGGTAGTTCCTGTGTCTGATGCAGTGAGCATACACTGACTTTATGGTAGTTCCTGTGTCGGATGCAGTGAGCATACACTGACTTTATGGTAGTTTCTGTGTGGGATGCAGTGAGCATACATTGACTTTATGGTAGTTCCTGTGTCTGATGCAGTGAGCATACACTGACTTTATGGTAGTTCCTGTGTCGGATGCAGTGAGCATACACTGACTTTATGGTAGTTTCTGTGTGGGATGCAGTGAGCATACACTGACTGTATGGTAGTTCTTCTGTGGGATACAGTGAGCATACAGTGATTTTATGGTAGTTCTTCTGTGGGATGCAGTGAGCATACACCGACTTTATGGTAGTTCCTGTGCTTAAGGAAGGCCAGCTCAACATGATGAGAATACACACAACGACACAGAGTGAATCGTGCCGTTTTTATAGTACTATTAGTTTGAATGTGTACAAACTATGGGTAATGTAAGTCTATCTTAAATAACATTTGTATGATATGCTATCTTCTTTTCAAATAATTGTAAGATTGATATTACTGAGTTCAAGATTATAAAGGTACCAGTATTAAAAATGTGGATGACCTGCGGAAATTATGGTTCAAATTCCTTGGTGATGGGACATCCAAAATCGAATCATAAATCTAGTTGTCCACGCAAATTATGGAGACATTATAACTGAAAGCGAAGAAGCTATTACAGATCAAAGAACAACGAAGAGCATTAAATATGAATATTGAATATGTTAATAAGTTTACGTATCTGGGAATATATGCAAACAGAGGTGATAAATAGAATATAGAATATCCTGACGCTTAAAAAACTGTTAAGTAAAAGCATTAGAATACAGAACACCGTTGTAAAACCAGTTGTCCTATATTGATATGAAGAATTGGTTACTTATAAAATATTTAGAAAAGAAAGAACAGGTCTTTGAAAACACGGTTCTTCGAAGAATTTAAGAGCCAGTGTATGATACCGATGAGAATAGATAGAGAAGACGGCATAACCAAGACTTGGTGGATTTCAGTAGATTTACTCCTATTACAAATATCGTAAAAGCAAGAAAAAATGAGATTGATAGGGCATGTTGCTAGAATGGAAGACAATAGACTGCCCAAGATTGCTATGTTTGGAAGACCGTAAGGTAGAATAGAATCAGAAAGACTGAGAAAATGATGACGAATCAATTGCCAGTTTGTTTTGGAGCAAAGATGCATTCGGCTATCTGCTGTGCCCACCTCGGAATAGAACCCCGGATTTTAGCGTTGTAAGTCCGTAAACTTATCGCTGATCCCAACGAGAGGCAAGATGACAAGATGATATTGTAGAGGGCGCCCTTAATGTTAGTATAGAAGAATATTCAGAGGTTGCACAGGAAAGGAAGTGGCCAGGGGTCGACAGACGAAGGGGCTATGGGAGTGAGCAAGTAATTATTTTTCACTGAATATTTTAGATAGTAGAAACGATCTTTTCTTCTTTTTTTTTTCCTCATGCTTTCTGTTCATAAAAACAGCCTTTATGAAAAAAATGATGTTGTTGGTTAACGTCAGTAACACTTAATCAAATTGAAATTCTGAATGGCGTAAACGTCTTATATTGAAACATTACAGATAAGATCCATCAGCTTTCAAAATGCGCATACTTTGAAACTATTTCACAGAGATTTCGTAAGTAATTTAGTGATTTGCTATATTAAGTTACACATAATGTTCATTTAGACACTTTTTAATCAATATGTAAAGTAAAATTTTGGAAATATGGGAAATCAGGGGTAGTTCATGCTTTCTTAAAAGCAAATCAAATAATACCAAAAACTAGTATTTTGTCTCTCCGACTTTCCTACATTTTGACAATATGACTTTTTATTATTTTTTAATTTTAATGTTAAAAAATTTCGATAATAGTTCTGATGGATTATCATCGTTTTATGCAGTCTTTCAAATTAGCGGTAGGATACACACTTTTTTAGAACATTTGTTTGTTACTAAGCATAAATCTATACAATGGGCTTTCTACACTGTTCCCATTGCGAGTATTGAAAACCGAAGTTTATCGTTATAAGCTCTTAAAGAAATTGTTACCAAACCATCTGCCGATCTCAGAAGAAAGACCTAGGCCACATTCCAAGATAATTTGTCAAATTATAATACGAATATGCTCAAAAGTCACGAAGGTTGAATACTATGGTTAGGTTAGTATGGGAAGACGAGCAGAATGGCTGTCTCGATTTGTGGTATCAGCTCAATGAAAAAAGGGGACTTTTGGGAATAAAATGTAGGAATAAAGAACAGAAGTCATTTTAATAGTAGCCTAAACTGTTATTATTCTAATGCTGGTTTAAACAGGGTAAATGGGATTTTACGTTGTAGCTACAGAAATATTGAATACGTCTAAAGACGTTATAATGGCATTGCACAGGTCATTAGTTTGGTCAGATTTGGAATATTGTGTTCATTCTTGGGCTCCTTGTCTTAGAAAGAATATTGAATTGTTGGAAAGGGTTCAGAGGAGAAGCTACTAGGATGATAATTGGGATGGAAAGATTGTCACACAAAGATAGGATAAGATCTCAGAAATTGCTTTTTCTAGATAAAAAGAAGAGTTAGAGGGGATCTGATTGAGTTGTTTAATATTATTGATATTGTACTTATTATTTTACTTATTGGTGAGATTAGTAAGACTTTGAGACAGAAATATAAATTTTGGCAGGATGGGAGTCATATTTAGCGAAGACAACTTTATTTTTCTAACAGGGCAGTTAACCTTTGTTATGCGTTACCTTCAGATGTGGTGGATGCAATTGATATTAAGGGAGTTTAAGGGAAGGCTTGGTAAATATTTGAATGATAAGAGCTGGCTTTGAGCGTTGAACGCTTTACTTTGATTTTAGTTTAGTATAGTGGATGGGAAGGCCTTGATGGATCAATACGTCCTTTGTTGTCTTTAGATAATAAGTATGTATATGAGATTTTTAGCCTAATATATTAGTCACGCATTACTCAGAAGGATAATAAATCCACAAATTTCTTTCAACATTATTATCACATAGGGGCACATGGCCTCAACAACAAAGACCGTACACCCTGATTTAACCTCTGAGGTCACAAACCTCCAATGTTCGCCTAAAATTACTACAACTCTATGTTCTTATTCTGACTAGTTGAAATCTTTAATCCACAACTTCAATCAGTGTTTACAATAATTTAATACCGTTATCAAAGTTAAACATCAACATGTGCGTGTACTTTAATGTAAACCTTTATATATTCAGAATTATATTTCTGTTAATGGATAAGTGTTCACCTGAGCGAATGTGTTCACATCAAACAGACTCACAATGTAAGCTGTTGCTATTCATTAAAAACATTATATGAACTATGAAAACTTCCGAAACACTCAATACACTGAACATGAAAGCAGACATATAGATGTACATATAACGTTCCATATAACCTACACACCATGTTAAATTTAAAAAAATATGAAGCATGTGCACTAGGATTTTAAAAAATAATCAAAATTTACAGTTGCCTTTCTATATAGTACAGTAATTCTTAGATTCTGTAATATGCTTGGTTATAGTCACCTTCACCTCGTACATCACCCTAGAACTTTTCAATGTAATGATGTATTTTAAAGTTCGGGGACGACTCGAATAACCAAAGAAGAAAAACGTATTAGAAGTTTAATAGAGTTCTTAATAGCTTTCTCCTGACAACAAAATACCTTGTTCTTAATAGCTTTCTCCTGACAACAAACTACCTTGTTCTTAATAGCTTTCTCCTGACAATGAAATACCTTGTTTCTAGTTGTTTCCTCGTGACAATAAAATTCCTTGTTCTTAACTGCTTCCTCCTGACAAT